GTGATGGACAGGACTGTCTTTCTTCCTTTATTTTATAACCTTAGTAAGTGGGTTTACAGTTGTGAGTACATTCTTGTATTATTATTTATTAATGATTGTATTATTTTCCATATGAACTATAAACCTACTTTTGCCCCACCCTGTATCATACACCGTAAATTTATGTCACTATTGAATTGAACTATTTTTTAATCACTTTTCTAGGAAAATAAATATAAGTGATATCTGAAAAGTGCTTCAAAGTTAGCTAAAAGTATGTACCTTGTTTTATTAACAAAGAAATTCATTAATGGGAAACCACAAATTTGAAATTTCCTGTAGGTACCTACCAAGAGTCATTGCTCCCACAACAAAACCTTGGGCTGCCACACGCATGTGGATCAGGTGAACGGACATTTTAGTATTTCCCCTGCTCTTCAATTTATATAATCCATATGCAACGATTGCTGCAAAACCCGCCATTCCTGAGAAACAAATAGTCACAATTATGTCAGATACACGGGGACAGGGAACCAAGATGCTTTCACCACCAATCAATGCACTTTCTACTATTTTATATAAAAACTAGTGGCTCAGTGCATGTGCACATTAAAAGGGAATTATTTAGAGGAAATATTTTAATATTGCTATTTGCCCTTTCTCTATAATAGAAGTGTCAGAGATGAAAGAAAATTAGTAAAATGTATATGAAAATCTCCCTCCTGTCAGAGTCTGGAGCATACCACAGGACCCAGAGTCAAGTCTCTGCCCACCCGAGCCTCAAAATCGCACAAGACCCAGAACCGGCTGGCCCCACCCCCCATTAAGCCCCGCGGGTGGAGGGGGGGGGCCCCGCATGAGGGTGCGATGACCATTTGCATATTAGCTCTTTATTATATAGGATGCTTATGAGACCATTAATTAGCTAACATACATGCTGTGTTTTTAATTCCCCTACTCAGAACCAAAAATCCTGAGATGGCAGCAAAAAGTAGCAGACTCATAAAGTTAAGATCTTCAAAATGTGGGCTTGTGAAGCCAGTAGATAAATTCCTTTAAGAGAACCAGGGGAACTCTTCCTTTCTGTCCTACTTCCCTCTCTAAAGGGAATCAATTAATATAACAGAGACTGTAATGAACCATAACTGTGAGTACAACAGCTTTTTGAAAAAAGCCTCGTGAGAGGGGAAAAGGAGACATAAGTAATACTTTCAACAATAAAGAATGAAAAAACAAAAGATAAGCCCTAACCGGTTTGGCTCAGTGGACTGAAGGGTCCCAGGTTCGATTCCAGTCAAGGGCGTGTACCTTGGTTGCAGGCACATCCCCAGTAGGGAGTGTGCAGGAGGCAGCTGATCGATGTTTCTCTCTCATCGATGTTTCTAACTCTCTATCCCGCGCCCCTCCTCTCTGTAAAAATCAATAAAATATATTAAAAACAAAAAAACCAAAAACAAAAGATAAGCCTCTTGAGTCCTTCTAGCAAACCACAGAGACTAAGGGGGTCCAGGCCCGAGCACATTCACTGAAAGAAGAGTCAATAAAGCAGAAGTCTAAATACACACAGAAGCATTTCTATAATGATAGTTATATGCCAATCTCCGCATATTTCAACCACACCTGAAAAAACATGAGAAAATAATGCTTATGGATATATTTGACGAATCGATCACACTTCAATTGTGTCACAGCATACAATAGACTGATTATCAGAATGTCAAAGCCAAACTTACCAATAGGGACAAATGGTGCCTCTTTAGCTTTTCGCATAAATTTAGATCCCTGACCTTCATCATATGAAGAAAGAGAAACATCTGTGTTGGATGACATACTGATTGAAGAATCTTCCTGAAAGAGAATTTCCATGAGGTTCTGCAATTAAAAGCAATTAGAACATTAAGTGACTGTACTTAACTAGGATGTACTTAAAATAATCCTAGTTTCCATAAAAATCTGGTATATCCATGAACTCTAAAAAGCATTTTTAGAAGTTTCTCCATACACCAGTTTCTTTTTAGCACGTCACTGTTCATAACAGTGCATTTTTAAGTAAGTTTTGTCAATTAAAATAGTAGCTATTAATTTTCTGACTATCTTCATCCTTTTTAAAAAATTTTATTTTCTTCATCCTTAATCAATTCAACTTGACAACTTTAAATTATTCAAACCAGACTGACACTCCTTACTGCCTCCTCAGTGTCATGGTGAAAATACTACTGAGCACTTTTAAGTGTAGCTGAGTGTCGTCTTTATTGCTCTCAATCACAACTGGCTGACCGATTCCTACATGCTACCCGGCCTCAGTTCTCGCCTCTGAATAGTTTCCAACCGATTACACTGATCTCTGTTATTGATGGTGGCTGTCTGTGGGGAAGATTAGTTACTCTGATTAGCCAAAATTTCTAGACTCATTGTTTACATCTTTTAAGGACAAAGTTTTTATTTTAATATTATTGCTAGAAATGTCTCCTTTTAAACATAACTATGTTCAATTGAACTAATATAGATTTTTATAATTTAGGGTTATAATTTCTTTAACAATACTGCAGCATAAAATCAAACTATACTCTTTTATAATAAAAGAATATCTCTCAAGCTTTAGCTGTCTTTCCTACATACCTTATATTCCCTGAGCTTCTTAAAATTCTCTTTCTTTTATATTATTATTCTTTTAAATAATATCAAAAGGCAAGATATTGGCCTGACCATTATACGAATAAGGGGGCAGGAAAAAAAAGATTATTTTCAATTATCACAGGGACTAAAGGCTCCATTCTCCCATTTCAATCATCTTCCTTTGCATAGGAAGTTAGCAGGCGTTTCATCACAATGAGGTAATAAATTCAGTTTCACCTTAGTCACAGTAACTGTACCACTTCCTTCTTCACCAATCTGATTTGAACTGCCTATAAATAAACTTTACCCATAGATAAAATAAGGGAGTCAAACATAGTATACGTGTGCACAAGTCTGATTGGTGTCAATTACAATAAAGTCAAAAGTCAACTAACTACCCACGTGAAATCTTACCTTCACTTCTGGGCGTTTCCTGTGCATTATACTCCCTTCCATAACAACAGCCCTCATTCAACACTGTGCTCTTCAAGGGCTGTCAGAGTGGCTAAGGCCCTCAAAGAAAACCCAACTTTACTACTTAGTTTGAAAAATGAAATCATCCCTCCAAGCCCCATCTCCACTGGGAAGAGTCGATTCTGTCATCTGACAGAAAAGACAACCTTAATCCAGAGGAGTTACGCAATATCAGAGATGAAAGAAAACTCAGATTATAACTAGACTTCCTTTTGTACTTGGTTACCTGCTAATTGACTAAACCCGCTTACTGAGCTTTTTATTACTATATACAAGGTTCAACCAGCTCAAGGTTCAGGACGCTCACTATATTATCTGAAGAGATAACATAAACACAGAAATGACTAGTGGTTCAAAAATTAGATTTTAAAAAAGGACATGACAATGTGATTACTTGTCAATAGCATAACAGAGACAACGAGAACTGAATTTACAGTGTGATGTCTTTTAGCTAAAGTAGGTTTGGGAAGTTTCACAGAGAAATATTTGAGGATGGCCTTCAAGAACCTACATAGATGGACTAGATAAAAATTAAACACTGTATTTATTTTAGGCTACTATGTCTATTAGTTGCCTTTATAACTAATCATGAACTTCTCAAATGCATAACTATTTGCATCTTACAGATGATCTCTATACCTCCAGCCTTTCAGAAGCTGACTCCTCTAACACTTCCCTTTTCATCTCCTTCATAGCTGACTCCTCCCATTTTCCAGCTTCTTACTTTAACGGACCTCTAGAAAGTCTTCGAAAGCTGTTTTGGTTATGCAGTCTCACCGCATGCTATGTTTTCTCTGTCATAACTCTTTCTTGTAAATGCCTGTTTAACTGCTTCTTTTGCTAGAATCCTTGAAGTCAGGAGGACACACCTGTCCTGCTTGTATCTATTTCCATTGCCTGGCACAATGCTTTGCATGTAGGAAGTACACCACAAAATGTTGAATACATTTAAAGGTAATATATTTCAACAATTAAAATTATTCTCAGGTTTAATCAGTTGGTAAGAAGAATGCAGAACCATATATACCTTAAGTGTTTATTTGTATTTTAATTCTTATATTTTATCTATGAAAGGAAAAAAATGGTTAATCTCAGTAGGTCTTGGCTTCTTGCAATCACAGGAGACAAAACTATTATATACCAGAATCTACTTTTAAAATCTAGCATCGTCTTTTGCAGCTATAAAAGCATGTTTTCTTCCTTTGCCTTAATTATTCCTAAACTATGAAGTCATTTGGGAATTGTCTTTAAAAGCAAGAAAGTAGGTCCGGCTGGCATGGCTCAGTAGTTGAGCGTGGACCCATGAACCAGGAAGTCATGGTTTGATTCCATGGTTTGAGTCCCTGTCAAGGCACATGTTGGGGTTTGGGGCTTGATCCCCAGTGTGGGATATGCAGGAGGCAGCCAATCAATGACTGATTCCCTCTCATCACTGATGTTTCTATCCCCCCCCTCTCCTTTCTCATAAGATTTTTATAATTCTTTCTAATTACCACCTAGAAGTTTCCCAAGTATTCATGATTTACAGCCAATCAATGAGAACATGGTTAACATTTAAAGTACCATTTAAAGTAACTATAAATCATGTAATTTGAAAATAACCTCATGATTAATGCAAACAGCCTTATTTTACAGATGGAAAAGGGGTTAGGAAAGCTTATAGGAACTCCTCAACAACAGGCATACATTTCTGACAAGGTGGGACCAGAACCAAGCTCTCCTGACGGAGTCCAGGGTTCCTGTGATTAACAAAATATTGCCAAACCACCCATCTTATGCTGGTATATTTTAATCGGGAAAAATACTGAAATCCATTCCATAACATAAGTCTGCATCTCTCTCCTTGAATTGTAAAAAAGTGTATATATATATATATATATATAATCATGCCTAATATTAAATGGAACCTTCTTTCCCAGCTTCATATCTGACAATTTCACCATTGTGATTTGAAAAGATGTATTTTCCACTAGCACTCCTAGATTCCCCTTATCATTTCCTCATCCGCACACAGCAACTGACGCCGACTGCCCACAGAAAGTCGAACAGGTGTGAAAAAGAGGCGCTAGGAACCAGATGCTCAAAGCCCGTCTAACAAACACGAAGCAATCTGTCGGCTGAGCAAGACACCACGCCCCCTGAAGACCTTCGCAAGTGCACAGGAACCGGGGAGCGTCCGGCGCAAGGAGAGAGGAGCTGCCCAGCCTCCGGTGACGCAACAGGCTAGGCTGCCGGACCTCCACAGCGGCCACTCGGGCCTCAAGAACGGCATCTAACAACAATCATCTCCGTTTCTGATCTTGCATCGGTCACCTGCCAGCTTGTCAGCTTGTCGAAAAATGGCTGCCAGGGCCCCACCCTGAGGACTCTGACTCAGGGGGTGAGGACCCAGGAGAGTGCATTTGCAGAAGCTCCCACCCCCTCCAGTGACTGGTGCACGGAGTTAGGAGCAGCCCTGGTACACGGGACTCAAACAGGTTCGTCACGCTGGGCCCGGTACTCCGATCCCTCACTCACAGCTTTTCATTCAAACCGCTCCCGCTCCCAAGAGCCTTTGGCAGGATTAATAGGGGGGCGGGGGCTGCTCCCCACACCGGCAATGAAGAGAGAAGGGCGAGTAGCACTGCCGAATCATCTCGGCTGCTCCCTTCCACACGCAGGCTGTGTTTTGTAACCTCTAACCGGAAGAGGTGCCAATTCCGTCCCAGACGCTTCAAACCCGATCTGAGGCCTCGCCCCCTCCCGAGGGCCGGCGAGGGTCGCGAGGGCACACCGGGTCCGGGAGAGGAGGAGGCGCGGACCGGAAGGTCGTGGGCTTTTACGCCCTCCTCTCCACCTTCTCACCTTCCTCGCCCTCGTTCTCCCCGTGACCTTGTCAGGACTCCATGGCCCGAGCGCTCGGCCTCTCGATCAGTTCTCACCCGCCGCTCGGCCCCAGCCCCTCCCGCGGGTCACTCCTGACGGTTCCATCCGAGAGCCCTCCCTCCCGGCCACGATGTATTGCACAAACGTCTGCCTCATCTCCGCATTGGCTCCGTCTCTCCTCATCCGACAGACCGTCAGGCCTTGTGTTTGGACCACCGCCCCCCACCTCCCCAAACTCCCTGAACCACGCGGCCGGCCTGAGCCCCCAGCTATACATCGCCCCCATTACCCCCGGCCTCGCCCACTCCAGCCTCGTGGCCCCCAACCCCCTCAAGGTGCTCTCGGCACAGCCAAGCGTGACCCCACCGCCTCCCGCCCCAAATCGGGCGTCCGCGCTCCCAGGACCTCTCCACACTTGACTCACCAAACG